CCTCGGTCATCATCACCCACGGCAGGTGACCCGGCCGGGCCGCACCGCGCCGCGCCGCGGGGTCCTGGGGCCGTCCGCAGCGAGAAGCCATAGGCCAGGCCTCTTCGGCCCCGGTTTCGTAACGTCCAGCCGAGTTCAGAGGGGCGAGCTGTGTAGGCACGATTTAAATTAATTTATACAAAGACAACTATTTTAATAGAACTCCGCAGCCAACTTTTAGATTTTTACCATAGATGCCATAAAGGCTGGTGCAGAGGACTGAGACCCGCCGGAAAAGCGACTGCCTGACCTTTGCTCTCCAAAAACCGGGTTTTCGGAAAGGGCAGAGCAGGGCGTCCCCGTCGTCCCACGAGTGACCTCAAACTGCCCCGTGTTTGGGGGCACTTGGTGTCCTCACCTTGAAATCAGGCTTGCTGCGCCCTGCCTTGCCCCGGATACTCTTCCATCCCTCTGGGGAGCTGAGGTCGTTTTAGCTCCGCGAACGCCCTCCACTTTTAGGGAGGAAAGCGCCTTGTTAAGGTCAGATACTCGGGGTGGGCACTGGGAACAGACTTCCTGTATTCAGAGCCCTTTCAGATTCTTAGGCCCAGGCAGAAGGTTATTATTCCAAGTCCCATAAATAGACAGTTCTGCTCTTTAAAAGTCATGCATGAGTCTCATTAAAAGTTGTTTTAATTTTCTTTAGTACAAAAATCAACAAGCTGAGACCAAGGAGGAGAGCATGCTTCTCAAGTACATTCACAAGCTTTTCCTTCCTCCTAACCCCTCTGAACTCTTGATAACACCAAACATAGCACCTTCAGAGTACTGAATAAGCATTAAATGCAAAAAGTCTATATATAGCCAGATAGTTTATGAGATGGACATGTGGATGATTTAGGTGCCCAATGCAATTGGCTACTCGTCAAGTCTGATTACAAGGCAAAATCCCTCTGGCCCACACAGACCTGCAATTCCCTAGGCTGGTGTCTGCTACCAGTGCTAATAAAGTTAACTTGCATGTGCAATATGGAAAACTGTCAATAGACTGTGTCCCATGGAAGAAAACGTGCTCAAGGGGTGCCATGAAAATGATGTATACATTGCATTCAGCATTTTCTGCATAGCAAAACGCCATACGAACATGCCATGTGCGTAACAGGTAAAGAGAAACCTTTTATAAAGCACCAGCAGTGTTTTATAAGTATTTTTATGTTTTTGCTTCAAGATTTCACCATTTGAAAGTCGTATCATGGCTCTGAAGTGGATCAGTGCCTTGACTCACCATCTTTCAATTTGCTTCACACTATGAACACTCCCATTTTGCTGACTTTCCAAAAATGGCTTAGTTTTAGGAAACTCCACCTTTCTGAGTGAAAGTGTTTTTCACAAATGTCTTGAACTCATCGTTCTAGAATCAAAGTGCATCTTCGACTGTTTGCAAAAATGTGAAATGATCTGTTGCCAACCCAATGTCACTGTGAGGACCTGCCTCCTTCCCTGGCAGGGTGTCAGTTGCCTTAAGGTATGAGGTGAAATTTGCAAATTTAGGAGCACCTGTTGTACAGCCAGGGAGCTGGGTCGTAAGAATGGACCATACACCTCTGACTGCACTTAGCTATACCTCATTAGCAGCCCTTTGTGTGTGCACGTAAAATAAGCCCGAGGGATTACTTTTATGCTTGAGAGTCTCATAATTAAACCATGATTCCCAGAAGGTGCAGGTGTAATGAGCAGGAGATATTTCACCTTACATTTTTCAATAAAGTACAGCAAAATGCTTTTGCGTCTACCTTGTTATTAACCATTGGGGGCCGTATTTATTAATAATAATAAAAAACCCCACAAAGGCTTTCAGAGCAGTTTAAGATCAGAGGTTATTATGAAGAAAGAAGACTGTTAAAGATTTACAAACAATAATGCAAACAGGCTTAACAAAGAGAGTGTATGTACTTGAAAAACAAGATGTGTGCTAGGGAAGACTTCCTTGTCTAAGCAAACATCATGGTTTTCATAGCCTAAAAATGAAGGAAGATTCCTAGGCAAGTTGGCTTTGAGGGGGTCAGCAGCTCAGTGCAAAGTTAACAGAGCAGTTACTATGGCAATCTAATATTGTTACCTCCATCTTCAAGAGTCTGCACATTTAAGATGGGGATATCACTTCTTGACTTCTGTGAGGGTCTGGCAGGGGAAGAGGAAGCATTTTAATAAATAGGCCTCTCACACATACAAAGAAGAAAAGAAAGTGTAGTGGGTCCTAACATGTTAACAAAAATGCCAGATCAAATGGGTTTGAGAAATAAGCCCAGTTCAAGACTGGCCGGGCCTCCACAGGGCCTCCCAGGGAAAGGAATTCCTTTATGTTCATGGAAGCCCTTTCTAGAAAAGCCATTCCATTCATACTTTTGTAGAGAAGTGAACAGGGTGTGAGGCAGGGCCCTTCTGAGATCTGAAAGAGCCTGTATTTCCTACCCCACACGCATCCCCCCTTGATCTTTTAAAGTCCTATGGCCTTGTCTTCCTCCCTTGGACACTAAGGGTGGGAGGAGTTGATACGTCAATGACTCCTGTATAAAGTCTATCTGAAGTTGTAATTTATTGTAACTGTAAGACAGTTAAGGTGGACTGGGGACTGCCACAGATAAGATGGAAAAAAAAATTTTCAAATAAATGCCAGAAAATTAAAGTAGCTTAAAATGTTAGTGAATCGTAGCCCTTGTCTCAAATGCATCATTTAAGCTGTTCCTAAACCTAAGTTTGATATGTAAGGTCAAGATCTTAAAACTGTCAAGACAAAAATCAAGCAGTTTCATATGAGTAAAAAAAAATTCTACAAGAACAAAATCTGTTCTTTAGTTATATTAAATTTATTTTTAAATTTATAAACTTACATTAAGTTGTATTAAATTTATTTCTCATCTCAAACATTTGTTTTTTGTTTTGTTTTACTTTTGGGTTTTGCTAACTTTCATTCTTTGGAATAAGATTTCTCTTTTGTATGACACAATACATTTGTCAAAAATACATTTTAAAAAAGCACCAGCTTCTTAATACTTAGAAATGCATACATATTCTTTACCTTGTAAAACTATTTATTTTGTAAAAATATGTTTAAATATGAATAAAAATACTGTAACCAAAAGTAGTTGCCTATTTTTAAAATGAAACTTGTAAAAAATAACAATGAGCCCAAACTGTATAGAAAGTCTTAAAGTTTATTTTGGTAGACTTGCTTTTTATAGGCATTGGCTTAAAGTAATTACTTTTCAGACATGATTCTTTGAAAAGCTAAAAACCACTTCCTTTTATTTCAAATATGCATAGCAATGACCCAGGAATAAAGATTCTCCATTTTCTGCCTTTTAGCAGCAAACAGATCTACAGAAGTTAAGCCTAAAATGTCTCCCTTTGCATTCTGAACCTGTTGGGTGAGGCTGGCTTCTCTCCCAGTTCTCAGACTCGGGGGTATATTTGGGGGTGGGGCATGCTATCGACCTGGGCCTGTGCACCCTCGTCGGTCAGGTCACACTGAGTGTACAGCAGCAGGGAACCCCACTGACTGTTACACACTGGCCACAAATCCTTCCCATTTTGCCCACACCCTGTGAATGCAGCCAGGATCTGCCCAGGGCCAGTTCCTGAAATCCTCCAGGAGTTGAGATTTTCCTTTCACTCTTGCAGGAAGCCCAGCTACTGCTGTGTCCTATAGTGGGCACTTCCACAAGTTTCCCTGAAATCTGCATTCAGCTCAGAGATGTCCTGCCTTTTACGCAACCTGTTAGATGCTCAAGCACAGCCTCTAAACTGGGAGACCAATCAATGTCCTAAACGCACACACCAATCCTGAGTTCAGTCGTGTTTTAAAGATTATGAGGACCATGCAGTGTCAGTTAAGACTTTAAAAACTCCTTGAGATAAGACTGCTGGGTGCATGAATGCCCCAAATCGATGAGTGTGTGTGCGAGTGGATGGGTTTCCCTGATGCTGACAGCTCTAAGCAAAATGCCTTATTCAGCTATACAAAGCAGAATTTTTTGTCAAAAGTCTTTGGTTAATCTGAGGCAAAATCAGGTTTAGGAGAAACACAGCATCTGCTTCAAGTCCATTTTTTGTCTCCCTTAAGACAACTAGATGTCGTCTGCACAAGGAAGAGCAGTCTTACCAGCACAGAGCAAAGCACGGGGCCACAACAGCTCTATCTGCTTTGACATGGCCACACTTCATTAGTTTTAATTTACAGAAAGGAAATTAAATGATAACATTTTCCCCCAAAGCAGAACTGTCTAGAATAGGACTTCGGCTTAAAACAAAACATAGTATGTTTTTCATTAAATAACCCCCCAAAGAAATTCAAAAAGTAATGATGGCAGCTCTGAGAGATGACTTGCCTTGTATTACAAAGTTTGAGAAATGAATGTGCCCGAGATCTTTCTTCTTGATGATGCTTTGCAGATGCCCTCTCAAGGGTGAGTCCATTTTGTAATATTGAGGTGGTGTGGACTTTTACTTAAACTTGGGACTAACTCCAAAAGAAGATTTGAGCATTGAGGAGAGAGTGGCCTTTTGGGG